GTGGGGGTGGGGGTGGGGGTGGGTGTGGGGGTGGGGGTGGGGGTGGGTGTGGGTGTGTGGGGTGTGGGTGTGGGTGTAGGTTGTGGGTGTGGGTGTGGGTTGTGGGTGTGGGTGTGGGTGTGGGTGTTCCTCTCTTCTTACACTTACACTCACCCACACCCACACCCACACCCTCACACCCACACCCACACCCACCCGCACCCACACCCCACACCCTCACACCCACACCCACACCCACACACACCCACCCGCACCCACACCCCACACCCACACCCTAGCCGATCTTTCATTGATATCTTAGGAAAATTTTGTCTACACTTTTTATTTATTCTACGAATGCTCAAAGATTACATTCTATAACTATGTATTTTCAATTAACGACTCAAATTACTTGTGAAGAAAAATATATGAACAAAATTGTCTCTTATTTTCAATTGAAACCGAGTAAGTATTAAGAAAATTTTACACTATTTTTGATTTGTTTTATCATTCAATTTTTAAATGTACTTTCTATTGAATAAACAAACAGTGATTCGAATATTTGGTTCTTATAGAAATCTTAAGTTCTATATTTATTCATTCATCATTCAATAATTCATCATGAAATTAAATTTCAAATACGTTTTTCAAAATACTTATCAATGATTAAAATGATTTCCTGTCAGAAATAATTTTCCGACAAATGAAAATCTTCAACAATGATTCTATTTTTTTTAATATTCATTAGGTTTTTCGAAAAGAATATCTATTTGTTAAAATCAACGATATATTTGTTTATTCAGACTTTAGTTGAAATATTCATATTTTAAAATTACGGTCGGTGTGGGTGTGAGTCTTCTTTCACTCGGCATCCACACCTCACACCCCTAGCCATACCCACACCAAAATAATTATAAGTTTATTTTTCGTGCTTTGCTTATATATCCAATTATTAGATCAATAATTTTGAAAATAAAAAATAGAAATTTCGTTAATCTTGCTGACTCTTTATACATCTATTATTTTCAAAGTGTGAAAATGAATTGTGTATTTCGTCCGAAAACCGTTCAGCCCATATCGTTCAATATCAATACCTCAAAACCGTATTGATGTTGTGACATACTCACGCACGCTCTTCTCTGACGTGATTGTTAAAGTTACTGCTTACTTCTGTTAAGATGTTTGTCTCCTGTAAAGAAGATAAATAAAGTCAAGCTATAAATGAAAAGACATCGAAGAAGTTTTTTCAAGATTTTTATAATTACGAAATTTGTTGTAAAATAAATAAATAAAAATTAAATTAAATATATTTATTACTTTTTTTTGCTAATTGATAGAAATTTTATTCAATAAAAAATGTTTTACTGGTAATTGAGACTCGTTCTTAATTGTGCTGGATCACATTCTTCGAATTCAATTTCAATTCTTTTTTCTTTGTTATTTGGAAGTTCGATTGTCTCTATTTTCGTTACCCGAAATACTGAATATGGCAACAACAGTACTTCTTCTTCATGCGGATGTTCAGATATACCACTTATATCTATTGCTCGACGATTTCCATTGATATTTTTAATTATGTATGTGCAACCGATTGATACTTCGCCTGCTTTACCTTCTTTGTCAAGTTTTTGCATATCTCGATCATATGCTGCAAATGTATCAGCTACTTCAGGTCTTTTTGATGTTGACAGAAATGTATTAGTCATAATATAGCAGTTCACTTGAATATTTCTTAATGCTCTTGAGTCAAATAGACCACGATAAACCGTTCCTTGATGTGTAATGAATCTTGGATGGTAAAAGAAAATACTGGCAATTGATTTTGTACCATCTTGTGCTGTATACAAAGTATCACAACTAAATTTACTGCACCCTTTCTCAATATCATGCAGGACAATACGTGCCATATCTTTATTTAGAACGCTAGAAAAGTCTTGACTCACAGAATACGCCTTTACAATATAGATTGGATCGCATTCTTGCATTGCTTTCTCAAAGAAGTTGCGAATTGTTGTAATTTCCGTCTTTGATATACGATTTAAACGCAGTGTTAAGTAGCCTTTACTGATAGTATAAATTTGCTTTTTTAGTTTTTTGTTGTCATTGTGCCATGATATTAGTTCCTCTTTAAAGTTGAGAGCCGTCTGAAGAACATTTGCATTAACAAGTTCCCAATCGTAGTGACCCCGTTCGTCTAATAAGTCACAACTACCACATTTAGTAGTGACGAGAGTATCAGCGTTAGGAAAGATAATTGATGATGCTACGGAAGATGATATATCAGATGAGTAGACAACACGAGTACGATGGCTTTCATGAGTGTCAGTTGTAGTATTCTCTTCATTAGTAGAAAGCTGTGTTTCCACTTGATACACCCGATGATGTGTCGAATCATGCAAAGAAGCTTCGAGAGAATGTTGACAATGATTTCTAGATGCCATCATTTAAAAGAAATGTAGTATATACGATAGAGTTCGTTACGTTCAACTTTACAAAATATTACAATATCGACAGCAGATACTTACATATATCTATCAAACGAATTCCTGTGCGAACACATTTATATTCTCGTAAATAGAAATAGGAGAAAAAACGTAATTTTTTTTTCTTTTTTTCCAACTTAATTTTTTTGTTTAACAAACCGTGAAGGACAACAGCATTTTGTTCGACTTGTATAGTAGATGAAAAAAGTGACTAATTTTCACTTCATATATTTGAGTCAAGAAATATTATTCATGACTGTGAATACTCATCTGGAAAGAGGAAAGAACAATCTTCACAGTTACTTCGACTGCAACATATATATAGACATATTTTATTCTTTTCTCTTCTCGAATACATACAGACATGGACATTGCTGCATGTGAGAGAAACCTTACTGGATGCCTTGATAGTATCGGTCTAAAATTTTGTGATGCTGACAAAGATATTTGTTTAGAACATGGCCTATGTATTACATCAATTGTTCTTAGTTCCGTCTCAAGTTGTATTTGTTATCCATGTTATTATGGTGATACTTGTGAAAAGGAAATATTCTCAAGAAATCTTTGGTTCTTAGGTCAACCATCGCGAACACCAGAAATGATTTCTGCTACAAAATTTCTTCTGCTTTTTTTCTGTATTATTCGAATATTCAATTGTCTTCTCTGCCTACAAACATATTTCTCCAGTCAAAAAATACGTATTACAAATATTGGTGTCTATCTAATATTTTATTCAATTATTTCACTTTTAATTTCACTTGAAGAATTTGTTGCAGCAATTCTACTATGGTTCGTAAAACAGTTACCAGAAAGTTATCTATCGATTGAATGTTTAATTAATCAAAAATTTGTACTAATATCATTAAGTTACATTTTGGGTTGGAGTATATGTTTTATAGCATTGGAGCGTATGTTAGTTGAATGCTTTAATCATAGTCTCTATACTTCACGAAAACGTTCAATTTTAATCTCAACATTAACTTTTATTATTTGTCCTTTAACAACAATACCTGGTATATTTACTTTAAAACAGCTTCCAGTGGACAAACTTTATCCTCAAACAAAGCAGCTTCTGATAGCTTTCAATTGTGTTAACTATACAACACTTGGTTATACTATCTACAAAGTCATTTCAAGTATACACATGTATGGTACACTTGTCAGTTATATACTACTTTGTCTCGGTGTTTTTGTTCATATGCTTAGACATCGCAAACGTATTGCTCCGAGTTACACTACTCTACAAAATATTCGTCTCATTTTACGTAATCATGGTGACTTTTTTATACCACTCATGCTGGCAATATTTTGTTCAATTCCGATGATAGTTATAGGTGAAATGATAACCTGTTCTAAAGCATTGAAGCTCAAGTCACTACCCAATCTGATATTGATATTCGGAATTATATTAGGTCTTTTACCAACATCATTTTCCTTTTTCTTCTATATTTATCCGGCCAATGTCTATATGGTAGCTTTTTGGAATAATTCACCTGTTGGACGATGTCTAAGGAAATTGAAGCAGAAAATAATTCAAACTGGTCAAAAGTGTAAAAATACTAGATTAATGCGAGCTAGATGGTCACATCAACCTCAATTAGAGGTAGTTGGACCCGAATATGAAGCTGGAGAGGACAGAAATTCATAAATCTTTTTTTTTCTGAAATAAATATTCTATTCGGTAGAGAACCGTGTGCTTGTATTTCAGATTGTGGTGACATTGAATCGTCTTTTGGAGAATATTCTCATATGAAAGCTATTCTATATACTACATTAATAATTATGAGTTATTTTGATAATACAACATTACATATCATAGTGCTATAGTTTCAGCATTTGTAGATGGTGTGTGGGTGTAGGTAATTTAAGAACACACGCACAAGCTAACTCATCTGTAATGTAGATCGATATAGCAGCAACTTACCAATAACTAGAGTTAAAGACGTGTTTGGTATCTTCTCCAGATAATTCAACGTTTTTCTGAACTCCATCAATATCGAAGATATCATCTGGCAATTATTGTGAGTAATCTATTAAATGATAGAGAAAGAATTTTAACTAGAGATGACAACAAAGAAGTCAAATTTTGTGTACATATAGTAAAAATTTTTCTAAAAACTTATTGACTATTCTGTGAAAATATGAATAAATGAGAAGAATTCAAAAAGCTACTTGCTGTTCTTGACGTAGGGATCGAAATATATTCATGAGCGAATGATTTTTATTGCTCTTCATCATTTTTAAACAATGTTCAAATATCCATTCCAAGTTCACTTCTTTTGATAGCTAAATAACAATAATTAGCTGCTAGTTCAACTGGAATATCTAATGACTGTCTATGTGAAATACAAAAACAAAAAGAATGATTGCCGCCCGCAACTATCGCGGCTATTCTTATACGTAAATACGTACTTGTTGCAAATCAATGTATATTTTTCGCTTTCATTCTCATGTCAATCAAGATCTTGTTTATCTTAGGCAAAATTCTTTTCAATCATTGGCAAAGAAGGAAGCCAAATATTTTTCTTAACATAATCCAAATGAGAATAACTATTCGTAAATTAAGTATATAAGAGAAGAATAAGAAATAACGGATTCTATCAATATATTTTCATTCAGACTAAACTACGATTACGACACAAATTCAAACTTGATGTTCTTCAAAAACATAACCACGACGACGATTTAATACATAATAAACTGTACCAAGAGCAACTTCTAAATGCTAATTATAATTATTATAACTCTATCAAAAGAAAAATTTTTTTCCTCTTTAACTTCTATTTCATATAAACTACACCAATGAGCTGCTCGAATAGCTTGAACACTATTCAGATGTATCGCATCACTACTTAATGTAACATTATGAATATCAAAATGAAAACCAGGAACATTTTCTTCAGCAAGTACATTCTCTGTTCTAGTCTATTGGAATCTAGCAACACAATAATTTTTTATTTCATTTAAATATTGTACACCTTTAGTATAATCGATTACAAGATTGTTTGCCATTCGTGCAAGTCCAAAACATTCAAATTTACATGCTTTATCAATATCTTCCAGTAAATCTGAAAAAATTAATTGAACAAGAGTTTATCAAATTCAATAATTAAGTATATTTTTTACTATCAGAGATAGGTCGAGCTAGGTGGAGGAAACCCGCATGTAGCCACACTTACATTGTTTAAACAATAGAGGACAAATTTAAAAGAATAAGCTATTTCAAATGGTTAGTGAAATTCTGCTCTAGATTATTATTGTAACCGAAAGAAATGTATGATGGTTTCATTTAAAATTATTCTGTAACTAATATGTGCTCATGAATCATATCATATCTTATTCTATTCAATAGGCGTGTTCCACTCGAAAGTTGGTCCAGGCTAACTTTTTCCGGTGTTAACCAAATGTAACGCTATTTGGTACTTAAGGGTTTCTCGACATGCTCTTTCTTTTGT